AATATTTGTAAGTACCAACCGCAAATCCCCACGAGCACAAATTTCTAATCATCGTTCTTTCTTTTTTTTTTTTTTGTGATGAGGTTCATAACGGTACTGAATCCTCATACTACCAAATAGGAAGACGGGAAAGCAGTCAACAACATCTGTACAATAACCCAGAATGCAGGATATGAAATTGGAAACTATTTTTGTAACCAGAATTTGTGGTATCCTTGTTCAAACATTTGCTTAAGTTCCTCATTTGTGGATATATCAATAAGCTGCTACTGTATTAGTATGGATTCATCTGAATTTGTTGACACACAGAAAAGTTCAACATCCAGTCAGGAACATCCAAGTGAAGAATGTATTAATATCTTTGGTTCAGGTCTGCATGAAGAGCTGTTAGGTGTTGACAGTAAGCAAGCAAATCTTCATCTCTATTTCGCAATTTTCGAAGATTTAGAAACTCAAAATCCCAAGTTTTGTTTGTATATAAAACGTTTTGCAACAAATGTGGATATCATACTTTTAGTTTTCATTAAATTTAATTGGACACTTTATAGTTTCAAATTCGTTTCATTAAATTTATCAAATAAAATAGTCGTATAGGCTATGTCATTTTTTGAGTTAATTATCAGTCATATAGGCTATGTCAATTTTGAGTTAATTATCTGAATCAAAGAGCGCATAAAATCAATTTAAACAAGTACTTTTAGATAACTAACGTACTTCTGTGCAAAGCAGTAAACGATTATAGTCTTCGTCATTTTCCAAACAAAGTTGAGCAAATAATCTCTCATTGAATGCATTCCTTTTGATTTTATTAACTGCTCTAACGACATAATCTAGAGATCCATTCAAACGTTCACTAAGATTTTTTTGCGATCAAATGATATCAATGAATGACACAATGTATCCAAAATACATTTGGTACAGCTTGTTTCAAGTATGGCAGAAAGCCTCATTATCTTCCTACCATTGCTGGAGATCCATCAGTAGCAACAGAAATATTAGTCAAGGGTATAGCTTTTACATCGAAAAATTTTTCACCTTTTGTATCAGTTTCCAAACATTTAGCAAATAACAATTCTTGGCAAAATTTTTCTTCTTTTACAAATCTTACATAAGCTAAAAGTAAAGTTTTGTTTCCTGGTAAAGTGGACTTGTCAAACTGTATAGAAAATTCAGATGTTTTTAAGTACTCACACAAAGAATTTTCTATGCACTGAGCCATTTCGTCAATCTTTCTTTGTACTGTCTTATTATTACTCAGTGAAATTCTTTTTATAATGCCAAAAGCTGGTTTAGGCAGCACGGTGCATATTACCTCACTTACAGCAGGTAAAGTAAGTTCTTCACCAACAGAGTACGGCTTTCCAGACTTTGCAATCAATAAAATGTTACAAGAAGCAAATCAGTCCATTGTCATGTTATTACAATGACGGCGTTTTCAAATATTTTTCTTGTACTGTTTCGAAAAATGTTAAATCCTTATCTTTTTTGTCCCTATGGAATTTTATTAAATGTTCCTTAAGCTTAGAATGTTTCACTAACTCATTTGACATAGTTTTATTAGATAGAAGACACACAGAAGTACTATTTCCTGGTGATAAAATAAAGACCATATACTGTATTATCGCATTTTTTCTTTGGTTCACTCCCACTGTTATCTGTTAAAAAGGGGCAAATAAGGATATAAGAAAATTTGTATATCAAATGTTTTATTTGCAACAAACCACTGTTAATTGTTATTAACTTTTTTCAATGAAATGCTGCAGTAAAAAAACTTAACGATCTTTCCTAAGTTTTTAATTTAAAAAATGTTAAGGAACTAACTATACTGAAAAATGTGATACATAATTTTTTTAAAAGAGATCAATTTTTTTCAAATACACTTATGTAACAAAAGTATACTATCTGCGTACCACTGGGAAAATTTGTTTATACACTTCGTATCAGCATAACACAGAACTAAATTGTTGACTGAATGTATGACTCTTATAGTTTATGTTTATATTGTAGACAAGTTAGTGCATGTAGCAGTGTTATTGCATTCCTGTATAAACCTGCTTCCAACCGTCTATCTCACACCGCACCATGCTTGTTATTAACTTAAGTAGCTGGTGCCATCTAGAACTATTAAACCATAGGCATGTGTTAGTGGATATTTTTTTAATCTTTGCTTCTGAGGGATTATCTCAGTTTATTTTAAATGCTATTTCGTTATTATTTTGTTGTTAGTGTGTTGATGGAAATTTAAAGTTTAAATTTATTGCAGTAAACTGAACAATAACTAAGTTTTAGTAATAATATTAAAACAAGTTACACACACTACTGTTACTACAAGTGACAAATCAGTGGAAATAAGTATTGTCAATGTTCATTCACAAAAGGCGTTACATAATGCTCAGTACTTAAGTAACAGACTGTATTTTAAGCACCCACCTATATTTATATTTTACTCAGGATGTAAATATTGCTATTTTATTTATTGTTATTTATTTAAATTTCCATAATAATAGAAATGGATAACAATTTTATTATTTTATATTAAACCTTGCACGGACCCCCTGACGTTGTTCAGGGACCCCCCCCAAATCAATTTTAATTTTCCATGGACACCCTGAATGATACCAGGGACCCCTGGGGGTTCGTAGGAACCATTTTGGGAACCACTGCTTTAGATGATTAGCTAATGCCAGGTATGCTGCCCAGCACAATAATTTTTAACATTTTTGAAGAGTGTATTGAAAATCGTGAATGTGAACGAGAGAAAATGACAGTAGTCAAGTGCGACAGTATTCTTATAGCAACTCAACAGCTACAAATTAAATTTCTCTGCACTGAATTATACACAGCAACATTCATCTAATGTTGCTAACTAAATCTGCATACTGCCAGTATACTTCCTCGAAAATTAAGCCTGCATTTTTAAGAAATGGCAGATATATACCATATTTGTCGGCAAACAAGACAACCAGCCTATAAGACACTCCCCCTTTTTATACACATTTTTTAAAGAAAATACTTCATTACTGATCATTATAATGATTTTACAGTATTTAAAATATTGTAATATTGTAAGTAATACAAATGCAAAGATACAATGTATCTGGGAAAGAACTCTTTTTAATCTTCATCAAAATCCAGATGCTCATCTCCAGAGCTAAATGAAGAGACACTTGAAATCTCTTCTAAATCAGCCAAGTCCTCCTACAACAAATTGTCCTCTGTACCATCCAGTGCATTACTAATACACACTTCTTAAATGATTCACGGTCTATGTCTTCACTGTCTCTGTTTTCACAGCATCCCATGAAGCTTTGACCCATTCACAAACTTGCGAAATGCTAGCCTTTACCTTCTTCATGATGGTGTAACCTCAAAATTTGAAGACTGCATCCAACTGTTCCACTTCTCCTTCATAAATCCCTTAAATTGTTTACTAATGCAGACACCTAAAGGTTGAAGCTGACTAGTTAGGCTTCCTCGAATTACAGTTAACTGAACTTTCAGTTCTGAGTTTATATTTTACATTTGTTCTGTGAGAACGAAACTGACCCCATACTAATAGGACAAGTTTCTTCAACAGTCTGCCAGGGCACCTGGACTAAAATTTATCTATCTATAACTTCATTCCTCCTTGATCCATCCAGCCTTTTGCATGAACATGTATAAACACTCCTTTAGGAAATTTTTCTTTGGATAGTGTCTTCCTTTTAAAAATGAATAGTGGGGGCAATTTTGACCAATCAACACAGCAGGATAAAACAACCATGTAGTGAGTATTTTTGTGCCCAGAATTTTAATAGTAACATTTTAATAGTACCTTTGCAATCTACAGTCTTGTTTAAGGGCATATCAAAAGTCAGAGGAACCTCGTCCATGTTTCCTATTTGTGCAAGTTCACAATTTTCTCGTTTTTGTACATTAATGATGAATCGATGAAATTCGGTAATTTTTCCTTCATATTCATCTGGCATCTTTTGATACATTTTTGTTTTAGTCCACATACATAGCTGGTTTCTTTTCATGAATCTTGAACACCATGATGTTGATTCAGTAAAATCAGCAATCTCTCTTACCAGTCACTATTGCTTTCGCTTGATGAATTATCATTTTTGTAGAGACTGAAAATCCAGCTTTTGTGTGTTCTAAATTCCAAGCAGTCAGGTCTGCCTCAAGTTCAGACCATTGTCAGTTCCCCTTCATAGGTTATGTTTACTGCGAGTTGCTTTTTTTAGATCTTCTTTCTGATTCCGCCAAGTTCTTATCTTTTTCTCAATTGGGGTTGGCCTGAAATGCCTCTCTGCAGCCGTTTCCATGTTCTTTAGCATATGCAATCACACATAGCTTATATGCTATGTTACAGCAATGCCAATGTTGTTTTTGAGCCATAACTTGCCAACAAACTTAAGAAAACTGAACAGTAGAAATTTCACACACTTTAAAGTCATTCACAAAAATTGCAAAGTTTAAACAAACAAAGCTGTGATTGTCGATGACAGCGCATGTGCATCCACTGAACTCTATGTAACTGTAATATTCCCACACTCCACAAGGAAACAAGGGGGGAAAAATCGCATAAATCCGAATAGAGGAAATTTCCAGAAATGAATGTAATAAAAAACTGAGTATCATCGTATAAGATAGACCCCATTTTTCAGACATATTTTCAAAGAAAAACAGTGAATCTTATACGCCGACAAGTATGGTATATATGTGTGTGTATCAAAGTAATTTTATTTTCCAATTTTTTATGCATGAATTGTTATTTCTTTGCAAACAATGATTCAGATATTTTTTTAATATGTTTTACTCTAATATCTGAAAGAACTTTGCACTAAATGTGATATGATAATTGATGGCAATGATCAATGAAAATCTTTAAATATAACAGAATAATAAAAAAGTAGAAAAGAAGGAAAAGTGAAAATGGATATTTTGAAATTGAAACAATTAGTGAAAAATTCACAAAAAAAATATAATCTGATTTGAGAAAAACTTTAGCTTACCTCAGCATACCAATCTTCTCTGCTGTTTATATAATCAAAAATCTTTTGATAGTTATTGAATTGTTGGTCCCATTCATATGCTTTATCATAGCGGAAATCATCTCCAAGCTGAATCATCACAACATTTGTACGGAACAACTGAGACTTTTTCCTATACTGGTCTAGCAAAATCCATGCTCTATTCAAATATAAACTATTTCAGAATCCAGCTCTTACTATACAACAACTCTTTACTATACAATAAATTAACAAACAAATATCTTAATTACTTGCATATTTCCCTTTTTTAAAACTAATTTTATCATATGAAAATCGGGAGAGGAAAATTATGCAAATAATTTCATTTCCGAAGGGTGTGGCTAAAGTTTTCATAAAACATATATGAAAAGTATTCATAGATAAATTACTGGTAAACATCACGATATTATTTAATCAAAATAAACCTACACCGTAATAAGTTTGGTGTTTGTTTGGTTTATGTGGTTACGGGAAAGCCTCGAGGGCTATCTGAAGGGTAGGGATGCCTTCGTCGAGGACTTAGTAAGGTAAGCTGGCTCTTTGTAATAATAATACACTGCAGTATTAACATTATTATATAATAATAATAATGCAGTATTAACATAATAATATCTAATAAGTTATTTCCATTTCTTGTGCCCTGTATCTAAATCCCACCCCACTCTTACTGTTGTCCATTGCTACTCTTTAGGCCTCAAATCATTTAGTGCTACTGCAAACAATGCCTACACCATTTGGTGCAGCTTGTAAGTCATTGAAACCTCACAGTTCAATCTGCCTTGTCACATGCAATGAACTTCAGAACCATCAAGACAATTAGACATCCCATTTTCCTGAAGTTCTTCACTATTGTTGGTCTATCCTTCAGAGCTTATGCATTCAAAATCCATTTGAGCAAGGTCAATCAATCAGTAAGATGAAAATAGTCACTGCATGAACCAATCCACATAAAAATTTTAGGAAGCTCACTTCCTAAACACCTTGAAGAAGGAAGAAATTATGTGAATAATTTTTAAAAGAATTTTTTTCAGAACCTTGTGCTGTAAAGCTACGGGGGTCACAAGCGAGTAAATATGGTAATTATTATATGGAAGAAAGTATAAATGCGCAACATTTCCGAAGACAATGACCTTATAATAAAACGGCAATATGTGAAATAATTTTCTGCAATTAAGCTAATTTTGGCCAGTAGATTGCAAAGAAATTATAAATATATTTGTTTGATTTGCACAATGTCAACAGTTTAAAAATTAACTGTGCACAAGAATCATTTACCCCTTTGACAGAAAGCAGACTTTGCCTTTTAGACACTAATGCAATAGTGTCTGGTCTATGCACCACAAAGCCCTAAAGTTTCTGTGTGTTCCTCTGGTCACTCAGGGAAGATAAAGTAAAAAACTGAATGAAACTAAAAATAAGTCATGGAAAATTAGAAATTACTTTCTGAACATGGAAATTCACCAATTTGTAACTTATCTTCTCCAGCAGATAATGCTTTTGAGATCTAGGAACTGCAGATTCAATTAGCTTATCTCTCATCTTTGATGCTTCAAGAATTACTGAAATCCACTTAAAGCTTCTTGAAACATCCATCCCAATATAAATAAAGATGCCTAGTCAATTTGGAATCGCTTCACACTAAATGTTCAATCGACGAAGGAACATGTATTTGCATGTTCAATACATGTACTGATAAACTTTCAATAAATTGCACTAAATTTAATATCTATTATATTCTAGCAATGAGATAACTCAATTATTATCTTTTGGATTATTAATATTCATTTTTAAAAAGAAATTTTATTTATTATTTCTATCAAAGTTTACAAGCCCTCGGCCACACATTTTCTGTTTGATTATGCCTAAGCTTCTCCTCAAATAACTGATATCAATTCCTCCTTTTTAAATATTATTTCTGTTGAATTAGATGCATTGCATGAAGTAGCTTGTTGAATAAATTAAACATCCCACCTAATAGCATTTTAAATGCAATTAAATATTCATAATCATATAACATCAAACACTGAGTGGTTATGATATCAAACATACAACCATATCAAACACACCTGTATCATTACTCCACTGCTGAAAAACTATTTTAGATTTTGGGCTTAAATCCTGGAAATAACACCTATAGCCAACAAAATCCATTCAATCAAACAGTTTCTTCCCTCTTATCTCAACATATTATTGTGGTTTTCAGGTTTATTGTTTCTTCAGAAGCAGGGGAAAGGTGTAAGTTCACTGCTTCTGCAAGAGATTAAAGAAATGCTCCTGAAGAAAAGGGACACTGCCAATCAGGCTTGAAACTGATAAGTTTATGCAAAAAATTTAAACGTATATATTTTCTTAAGGTTTAATTTTAAATTTTACATTGTGTATTTCCCCAACATTTTAGGAAAATCCTTCTTTTAGACAAATGTTTTACCAACAGACTACTAAAGAAATTTCCTAGGTATTCTGCTAACAAAACATTTGTCTAAAAGAAGGATCTAATTATGCTGAGAAAGACATCAATTACAGTTTCTTGGCCACGGCATCATCTGTGTTTCAATCTCTACCAGAAGAGGTGTTCAATGCAAAGGAGAAAACAAAACCTGGTGTGAAAATCACTATTGATTTAAAATACACCTGGAATTCAGCAGACTCTTCCATAATAAAGTTACTATATCATAGGAGTTCTCAAAAAGAATTAGCAAATATGATACATTTTCACTTAAAGCAAGAGTTCAAATGAATGAAAAAGTTGACTGATTTTTAAGTTTTATTCATTCAAAGCAGTAGATACATAACCTAAACTTTCAAACAAAAAAAAAGTTTGTTGAAAACAGAAGTGACAGCAAAGAAGATGGCTGGCTGGTTAATTGATTACAAAAAAGCACACAAAGTCTCCACTGAATGGAAGGAATTGTTCCAAGGAAAACTCTCTAAAGGAAACCAGTTCACACTGACGATATTCGCACAGAAGACCATGAAAAACTCACATAGTTAGAATGTTCACAGAGTAGAAAGACAATCCAGGTAGAATTATCAGCTTTTTGTGATTTAACCCATTAGCCGCTGGTGTTGCGTTGACGGTCAAAATAAATGCGTATAAAAATATAACTACCTAAGATATTTTATACCAGCAGGTGATTTTGTGTAGGGAATATTATGAAGATTATTTGTGTAAAAAAATATTTGCCCTTCAACAATCATTTTATTTATAATAATTAATCTCATACTTTAAGCAAAATTTTCGACCGGGTATTTTTTGCTGAAAATATTTAACGACAAGAATCGCCGTCTTTAATGAGTGATCTATTTTTAGTCAAGGTCATCCCTTTATCCAGAACATTACATCAGTCAGATGTTTATATCTTGTGTTGGGAAGGAAGGGAAAACAAGTGTTGCGTTGACGCAACGTCAGCAGGAAACGGGTAGTCAATCTCCTTTTTCACTCATTCCTTTCAATGTTCTGGTTGTTTAAAAATGCCTAGAATGAGGTATCTTACATTAGCAGAGCCATTTCAAATATTTTTTGATGAAGAAACAGATGATGATAATGTTAATAATGACCAGAATGAAACTGGTATTGTTGTTGTTCCCCCAGAAATTGCAGAGGCTAGTAACAAAGAAGAAAGGAATGGCAATGTTTTAAATAATGATAGTGATATTTTACCAAATGATACTGGTGGGGAAGTTGAAATTCACGTAAGAAGTAAGTTTTAGCCATCTAAAAGCAGTTATAGTCATACTAAAAAGTTTAAAAAGCAGAAGACTGAAATCTTGAAGTGGATAAAAAAGGAACTGTTAGTTATGTCTCAGGAAGAACATGAAGAAAGAGATAGAAGAGAAATTATAAAAGACAAAACACAAGGTAAAACACAAGGTAAACAGATTTTCGATTTTCTTTTTGGTTTAGACATTTACTCTCTTCTCACTGAACATACAAATATATACCCAAAAAAAAAAAAAAAAAAAAAAAAAAAGCTTAGAATTTATTGCATCCTGAAGCCTATTTATTGGAATATTTACTGCTTACAGGATATCATTCTTTACCTCAAGAAAAAATATATTGGTCTTTTGATAAAGACATTTCTGTTCCTGTTGTACGAGAATCGATATCGCGTTTGCAGTACAGGAATATGAAGCAGAATTTGGATTTGACAATAGTCAAATTGACAATACTGATAAATTATATGAGGTGAGACCGTATCTAAACTTACTAAATATCACCACTTTTTACTACTGGAAATATAAAGTCTCTTTTAGATTTCAGACACGAGAATGCATTATTCCTTTTGCAAACTCCTATTGAGAGTGTAGAATTAGACAGAAATAGATCAGCAACAGGAAGACCTAGTAAATTCAGCATTCAAAAATTATTGCATGGAGATGGTAGACATTTTATCGTAAAGTTCGTTGATAACAGAAGACTTTATTGTAAAGAGTATCATAGCCAGACTGTTTACAGATGCAAAGTATGTAATGTAGCTTTACATCATGATTGTAATCAAGCTCTTCATGCTTGAATCTTTCAGTTGAAATAATCTGTATTTGTAAAAGAAATACAATGTATATTTTAATATTAAATTAATTACAAGTAAAGTGACTTGTAGATTTATAAAACGTTATACAGCTAAAAAGTAATCCTGCGCTCCACTCAAAAGAAACATCACACGAGTACAATCCTACTCACTAAACATCCATAGTCTTATTCCGCTGACGTTGTCCGAACGCAACACTCACTTTTTCCACAGGTAAGAGCATTTTTTTAACTTTCAATGTAAATTTATGTTATAAATGCTTAATTTAATATTTGTTATTATTTTCATGAGAAAAGAAACATTCCTTGTAGTGTTGGCAGTTAATGAGTTAAGCTACTCAGCAATGAAACCCCCCCTTTTTTTTTTTTATTGCTTTAGCTACCAGGAGCAGAGATTTGAGAACTGATTTAAAAGGTACAAGATTAGATCGATAAATTGTCAAATACCTCCCCCCAATTTTTTATTTTTTTCTTTAAATTGGTTTGCTAAAATGTGAAATGCTTGAACTAGCAAATAATGCATAGCACTGGACATCAGTAAGATTTTCTAAAATAAAACTTACACACTTCATGATCATAAAATTGTAATCACTTTAAAAGTCAGCTTCAGCAGTAAGAAATAAATTTGTATA